TTTTTTCAAATGAAACGAGGGTGGCTGATTAGCATATTTGGAAAAAGCATTTTTTTACAATAATTTGATACCACACACTTGGTATTTTGAGTCAAATTGTCGTTATGAACCGCATGTTACAATTTCAAATAAACCATATGATAAAATGTCAAAAGTTGACATATGATATGTCATTCGATTCAGAGTGTCATTTTCTATCGAATAAAGTATAAAAATACCGAGGGTGCCATTTACAAATCAAAATTTGTAGTTATTTCCGGTGAAACCGGAAGTGACCGAAAACAATTGAATACGTCAATCAATCCCAATTTATGTTATATACTAATATACCAAATATCGTTGTTTTATCTGAAAAAATAAAAAAGTTATAGGGGTGAGCCACCTTTGAGACGCACCAGGTATTAATTTAAGTCTTTACAAAAATGACTTGACTTGAAAAAAATGACTTAAGTCAAAGACTTAAGACTTAAATCATGCATTTGAACCTTATGTTGAATGTGACTTAAGACTTAAATCATTTTGATTATAGAAATGACTTAAGACTTAAATCTTTTTAAACTGACTTGCTGCAGCTTTGGATGGCCCAACTCAATAACTCAACTTAAGTATACCGGGTGTTGCATCGTCGAGCGGGACATAGGAAATCCCATGTAAATTTTAATCGGGTCAATTATTGGCTTCCCTAATTATTTTAGAGAATAATTCTATTTAGGTTTATTGAAGAGCACTAAAACCCACTTTCAAAAGAATAACTTTAGATATTTTTTATTAGTCCGTTTACGAATTATCGCCGATTTCTTTTTAAATATTTCTCCTTTCTTATGGCCTTGTATTTACTTATGAGCACCAGTCAAGGTAAAAGATAACTGTCAAATGAAGTGGTCATTTCAGAAATTTATCTATTTAGTGCTTTATTATTATTATTAAAAAATCATACCTACATCGAAAATATTAGCCATGAATTTCTACCGAAGAAAAAGTATTGATGATTAAATGGTATTATCAAGGAAATAGTTGTCAAAAGGTGTCGAACATGTTTGCTGCTCTGTATCCGAATAGACCGATACCTGGAAAATCTACAATCGCAAGGAATATCCAGAGATTTGAGACCAAAGGTACCCTAATAAATAACTGTAGATGTGAAGCAAGGCAGGAACAAAGAGAAGATGCAAGAAATGATACCGACTTGGAAGTTTTATTGTGCGTGGAAGAGAACGATGGAAAGATCAGCACAAGGAAACTTGAGGATGAAATAGTAATAGATCACACTACAGCGTTTCGAATTTTGAAACGACATATATACTATTCCTTCAAATATGAAAAGCACCAAGAGCTACGAGATGGGGACGAAATACGGCGACAGGCGTTTTGTTTGGATATGATGGAAAGAGCAAACACGGATAGGGAATTTTAAAAAACATATGTTTCACTGAAGAATGCACGTTTACCTTAAATAATGAACCCAATGTTCAAAATTATCGATATTGGAACAAAGAAAACCAACACAGGTTTGTCGAAACAAGGACGCAATATCCACAGAAAGTAAATGTTTGGGCAGGGATATTCGGACACAATATTATCGGACCATTATTTCTTAGGCGAAATTTAAATGCAGAATATTATTTGGAACTACTCGAAAATCATATTTTACCTGCAGGAAGTTTGGTACCAAATGGATGGCTGCCCGGCACATAGTACCCTGGCTGTTCGGGAATATTTAGACAACAATTTTAACGGAAACGTTATTGGCCTAAATCATACAGTAAATTGGCCAGCAAGGTCTCCTGATATTTCGCCAAATGATTGCTTTCTCTGAGGCCGTTTAAAAAACAGGATAGACAAGGATAAAAAATACCCAAATCTAGACGAGTTAAAAAATGCTATTTCTGCCGAATGCAATAGAATGTCAGTTTACCAACTAGCGAATGTAAGAAGAGAATTTTATGATCGCCTGGGTTATTGTCTAGCAGTCGATGGAGGAATATTTGAACATTTTCTTAAATCCTAAAGTTCTAAGAATTTAATAGTACCTAAATCAATAAGTTATTGAATATTGTAATAATACTATAATTAACCTTGTAATTCATTACTTTATTTTACTTTAATTCATATTAATTCGTATTTATAAATACATCTTTAAGATTTCCGATGTAGGAATGAGTTTCCAATAATAATAAAGTACTAAATAGGTAAATTTCTGAAATGACAACTACATTATTTGACAGTTATCTTTTACCTTGACTGGTGCTCATAAGTAAATACAAGGCCATAAGAAAGGAGAAATATTTTAAAAAAATCGGCTATAACTCGTAAACGAGCTAATCAAAAATATCTAAAGTTATTCTTTTGAATGTGGGTTTTAGTGCTCTTCAATAAACCGAAATAGAGTTATTCTCTAAAATAATTAGGGAAGCCAATAATTGACCCCATTAAAATTTACATGGGATTTCCTATGTCCTGTCCGACTATGCAACACCCGGTATAGAACGCTCAACTCAAGTACATATATAGAATGTTCAGCCATCGTTCAACGTCACGCATTTCGTAAATTACTCCACATTGTTTTTTGTAATTGTCATTGTCATTTGATTTGTGGTTAAAATTTTATTGGGGGACATCAATCAGTGTCAAAATTAAAGTTTGATTTGGATCAAACTTGAATGTCGGATAATTTTTAATTTTTACTTTTTGGTTTATAATCTAAAATTTCATTTTTTATTACTAAAATGCGTTGCCAATTTAGCGAGAATGAACAAGCTCTCATCGCAAAATTTGTTACTTATTTTACACGAGAAAAGAGACACTGGTAAAACACTTTTGGCTGTCAGTGCCGTATATAAAGTAATTACATTACAAACCTGTATTGTAAAAACAAATTAACTGCGGTTTTAAATAATTGAGGGGCTGAGTTCCAAAACTAGTTTTATCCAAATTCGTTAATTTTCAATAATCGCAAAAAACGAACAGCAACTGAATTAGTCTTGGAACAATTGCACGACTTTAACATGTAAATTATACAGGATAGAATGAGTTACGCCACAAAAATGATGCTGAATATTGTGCAGAGCTGCCAATACTAGACTATAGATACTTTTACTCAAAATTACCAAAAATGGATAAGACGAGTTTTGAAACTCAACCCCTCTAATTCATTATTATTCACTTACAGTCTCGAAGAATTGACGATAGTCGTGATGCGTGACATACTCTTGAATCTGATTAGCTTTTGTGATCACCAGTTATCCTTTACTTAGGTTTCTTCGAAGCGTGTTGTTGGCTGCTTTAAAGTTGTCCACCAGCCTTGGATTGTGTGGATTTGCAGTGACTGCTTGATGTTCTCTATGCTTTTGCTCCAACAAAGCTTGTATATGCGGTTGATTTTTGTTAAACCAGTCTGGTTGTTTCTTTTTGTTGGATTTTCCATGTACTGCTTCACTGGTTCTATAAATCGCATCCCTTAATTGTGTCCAGCCTTGTTTGATGGCTTTCCGGAGGGCGTCGGCGGTATCGTCGTTCTCTAGATCCTGTACGTTGAATCTGAATGCTGGTTCAATATTTTTAAACGACTTAAGGAACATTTACCGTTCATTTCAAGTAATAGATTCAAAATAGATTCCACAATTAAGCAGTTGATACAAATTTGTTATACAAAATATTTGGAGTTTTAATATATTGTCCTGATATTAAAACACCAAATATCATCAGAATAAACTTGGTAATCTTATAATCTTCTTAAAATGACATTAAGTCGTGTTCCTTTAACTCGGAGTTTTTTTCTAAACTAATCTAAAAAAGTTAAGGAAGGTGTTTTCGCTAGGAAGAAAAATGTTCAGAAAAAATGTGTTATAGCTATTAATATCTATGTCGTTTGTATTTAAAAAAATACTATTTGTAAACATAAAAAATGTACTCAAACAAATAAAAAGTATTATTATCAAAAATGTACATTTAATTTTTGTTTAGAATAGAATTTGTTTGCGTGTTGCTAAGCGGCAATTTGCGATATTGTGGTTATTCTGTCATCGACAATATGAACATATGTCATTTAACAGTAGAGGAAGCAAACTAAGCCATTGGGTTGCTCCTTGGCGGTGCGCGACAGACCGAGGTGGCTGATCGATTTAAAGTCACCTAAAGTGTAATTTCTAGACTTAAAAACCGATTAAATGAGACTGGATCTGTCATGGAGAGGCATAGGGAGGGTAGACCAAGGTCGACAAATGCTAGGGAGTACCGAAGCTTAATGAGAGGAGCTAGGATGGATCCTGCAAGAAACTACACGTTGTCCAGCCAGGACATTCTGGCTGCCAACAGGGTACGTATTACCCATCGGACGCTCTTAAATCGATTAAGAAAGCAGGTTTAGATTGCTATAGGCCTATAAGACGCCCTCTGTGATCCCCCAATGATGTCGTCAGCATAAATTTCACCTGTCATTGTACCTTCACAGACATACAATTCCGTTCGGCCTCCGTAGAAAATTCCACCCCAGACCATTACACCTCTAACTCCAAAGGGATGCCCTTCTTGAACATATCGGTCGTTAAGTCTTGTATTTGTCTTGTCTCCACACACGAACTGTCCGTCTGTCAGTACGAAGACAAAAGCAGCTTTGATCGCTGAACATCGCAGTATGCCACTCATCATTCCAGTTAGCTCTTTCATTATACCAGAGGAAACATTGAGCTTTATGACCTCAACCTGACTCTTGCGGAGGGCGTCTTATAGGCCTATAGCAATTAATCGATTTAAGACCATCCGAGGGGTAATACGTACCCTGTTTTTTTGATGTTCCATCCAGATCTTTAAAGAAGTTTTGTAGGAGATTCTGAGTCATTGCATTAAACTAAAACTATATTGACATTTATTTTCATAAAATAAATTTTTTAATAGATTTGTATTTTGATTTGATAACACGCTTTATATTTCTATAACACAGTTTCTATGGAAACCAACGTAGCTGTCAATTTAAGCTGACAGAACAGCACTATGACTGCAAATGGACTGCCATATTTCAACCTTTGATTTCAACTATTTTTATCTTTACAGTAAAATTCTCAAAAACTGACTAATTCGAATAATAATATTCATGTAAGTATTTCTTAATAATTATATACCTAGTACATATTTGAATACTAAAATTATATGTATTAAAACTAAATATCACCAGAATAACTCATGTAATTAACAACTAAATTTAAATAAAACATACAGTGAGGTGTTTAAATTCTATTAATGCCACATTTTTATTGTGTTTTCTAACAATATTTTACAATTTTACTGTAACTTAAAAGAAATTTTAAATTTTTTTTTGGTTTTTATAACCTATGGAGTGATCCCAGAGATTACAATCACTTGTGAACATGGATTCTAGAAGAGAAGATACGAAATATCACAAGTGTGAGTTGCTAGGCGAACGTGTTGACGTAGTAACATCTTTCATTGATGCTGGAATTTTCATTAATACAAGAAGAAGACTTAAAAGGTAAAATAACAATATGTTATAACAATGTATTTTACAATATGTAAGTGATAACGAGTGTATCGCACTGTTTAGTAAAAAAAGAACTAGATATCAGATTTTGAGCCAATAAGTGCTGTTTCACATGGAACGGATCTCCCGCGAGGACCATCGTGTATTTTTTTAAGGTACAACGGAGAACTTTCAGCTGTGCTGTCAATCTGCGCATATAACACAACGAATTTAATCATATAGCATGTTCGCGCACGGATGGTCCGTCGGATAACGTCATCCGGATGGATTATCCGCGCCCTTGTGATTCCTTCGTTGCCATTGAATAGGATACATGATGCATATGTATTTGAAGTAATTGGAATAGATATGGCTGGACCGATATATCTGAAAAATAGTCAAAAAGTCTGGATTTGTAGTGCACCTGGAATTGGTCATCTCTGAGTCTTTTGGTTCGTCTCCTTTTTATTAAGTTTTTTGTGAGTCACGCTAATTTGTTATCGTTCCTCTGGTGGGAGGATGTTGGAGACACACCAAAGGAAAAAAATAAAAACGGACCCTCTTTATTTCTTATCTACTCATGTTTGTTACATTTAAAATTTCGGCCAGCTCGATTGTAGGCAGGAGTCCGTGCCAGGTCGATTTTTTCACCACCCTTCACTCTTCAGCCGCTGGAGTGTTTGAAACAAGTGTTTGACAACACAGGTAGTCAACTTCACAAAGCACTTCTCTGTATTATTTTGTCGGGCGTATTTAGAAATATATTAAAGAATCATCGAACAGTTAATTAGTGCTTTAATTAATTATTCCAACCTAGCTATGGCAAAGAGGATCGGGTAGATTTTCTGCTAGCGTGATGTAAATAACACACTTCAACCTGAGAGGGTATTTTAATACTGCAGAATTTTGTATGATTCTTGTATGTGTGTTTTGTTATGGGAAAGAAATAATTAAACCAAAATGAGGATAATATAATATAATAAAATAGATGTTAATTACTATACCAAAAAAACCTATATTATAAAAAACTTTCTGCTTATAAAAACGGTGTTGCCGTTGTTATAAAAAAATTAAATTTGAAAATATTAAAGGAAATGCTAGACATTATTTATACAAACCTAATGTATGAATGTAGAATGTTTAGGAGGGAAGTTAATCACCACGACCTTATAGATCTATTGTGTGTTCCCCTTTCTTGAGTTATAACGGGTTATAACTTATTTATATATATACTCAGATGCAAAAAAACGCAACGAACAAAATTTTAGTCAAATTTAAAGTGTTATATTTTTGTTATTTTTAACCCTATTTTTATGATTTTTTAGCAAGCTGTATATAATTATATCAACTTTAATTTGTATTCCTACTCAGTTTTTTTCATAAACTTTAGTAAATGGTATATTATACAGAGTTACTCGAGGGGTTGTTTTTTTACCCTAATTTTAAAACACCCTATGCAATAATTTCGCGTGTCAATTTTCCTAAATTATAATTTTACGATCAGAACCATGTCTCCTGAGCATTTTGTTTTTTGGATTATGTCAATACATACTTTGGTTAATTTTTAAGAGCAAAATGAACTTGCCACCAACAATTTGCAATTTTTTTCAATTATCATTTCTTTTTGAAGTTATTTTTGAATATGACAAGGCGACTTTGGTGATTTTTGTGAACTCTACACTACTATGAACTGCCCATCATGTTCCACGTTTGGGAAATATTTCGCAAAAGGGTTAGAGGTCGCGAAGCGTTACCAGCTTCATTAAATGAACTTCACGTGGTCCTTAAAGAAGAATGGGAAAACATAAAGCAATATGATATGTGCAGCCTCAATGACAGTATGAACGGACATATACAGGCAGTTATAGCAACCAAGGAAGGTAATAAAAAGTACTAGGGTATTTTTTACAATTTTTGTTTTCTGTTTTTGTGCTTGAGTATTACAGATTTTTTCTTTAATATACTTAATTCTGTTATCGCTATTAATGTTTCGAGGGCTGAGAACCATACGGTTCCAAGCGACATTTTCATTTTTCTTAGAAAAATGAATTTTAAAGTTTGATACTTGATAAATTCATTCTGATAACAGAAATCAAATTAAAATATATTTGGGAACGTTGTATAGGGATTTGTTTATAAAAACATACGCAAAAAGCTGCTATTAAAAACCCGAATTATGTATTTTTCTTTTTTTTTAAGAAAACGCTGTTACTGTACTTGGAACCTTGTGGCACTGTAAGCACTGTACTTGAAACTCTATGGTTCTAAAAAGAAATCTGACTGTGTATAAAAAAGAAACACAAGTTTACAATTTTTACAGCAAATTAAACTTAATGATCTATAGAACAGATTCCTGCAAAAAAGTGAAATTTGAAAAAAATGTCGCTTGGAACCCTATGGTTCTCAGCCCTCGGTTTATTAAAACCCGGACTCTATATCGTTAGCTTTTAACGTTTTTTAAATTTAATATAGAGTATCCAATACAGCGCAATATGACGTTAAGACAATAGTCACCAAAACCATCCCGTCATATTAATAAACTACCTACATCAAAAAGTAATGATAATTGAAAAATTGCAAATTGATCGTGATCAATTCATTTTGCTCTTAAAAATTAACCAAATCATGAATTGACATGAATCAAAAAACAAAATGCTCAAGAGCCATGGTTCTGACCGTAAAATTATATTTTAGGAAAATTTACACACGAAATTAAAACACAGGGTGATTTAAATCTAAGGTAAAAAACAACCCCTCGATTAACCCTGTATAATATGGCAAATATTAAAGATTAGAAAAAACTGAGTTTACGAATTAAAGTTGATATAATTATATACAGTTTGCAAAAACATTCATGAAAATAGGGTTAAAAATAACAAAAATATAATACTTTAAATTTGAACAAAAATTTCTCAGTTGCGTTTTTTTTGCATCTGAGTGATTATTAAACGGGTTAGAAAATCTAGGAACTAGTGGGGTTGCAGTCGGAAGGGCTTGACAAAGAATTTATTTGTTAATTGTCAAGCTTTCGGAATTTTTTCATTCCTTCCTCAGTATACTAAAATGGAAATATATGTTAGACAATTATTGCTCTAGAAGTTAAGAAGAAAAAAAAATTACTTAACGTGGACAAGAGATCTTCATAAAAAAAACTACATTAAAAAATTGGCTTGTGTTGAAAACTCCACCGTGAAGCATCGCTGACTAGTCAACCACAAAAAAAGAGAGGGCTCTTGTGGGGCGGTTAAGCCGCCTGATATTTATTTAAAACATTGGAATAATTAAGAGATATTCGATTAAAAATTCAATTGCGTCTCAATCTAAGGCGTGAAGGCGCAAAGCAACTGACAGGCGACAACTGTGACATCCATCTGTCACCGGTCAAATGTCAAAAGTCAAGAAAATTATAAAAATGATCTATAGATGGCGAACAGGGTTGTCGCATGTCAATTTGATAATATTATTATATTCCTGCAAAAATTAATTATGTGGATGGTCATGTAGAAAAGTGGAGTGATCAAGGCACGCACACTTATAAAATAATTTCAGAAACACCCTTACTCGTACAACGAGAAAAAAGAGGTGGTCATTATACAACTACATTTACAGTCTAAAAGATGTCACTAAATGTCTGCAACCAGAAAAACATTGAGCACAATTTGAAAATTCACTATGCATTTATATAAACATTTAAGATGTACTGAATTTTAAATAAGAAAAAGGGTACATTGCAAATAGTTAAAAAGAGTACATGTAAAACAGTTAATGACGACAACAATCTGTCGAAAATGATTACAGTGAAGCAAAAGTTCGAAATGTCAATTTACAAAAATCTCAAAAATCTTTTGCGTATACATTAGTAACATTTATAAATTATATGGGGTATAAAAACTTACAAAATCACCCTGTAGAGGGAGGAAACAAACAACATCAATAAGTGAGACTCCATTGAATAACAATAGTTAAAACAATATGCGACTTAGAAAACCCAAGAAAAGGCAATGCACCAAACTAGCAGTGCACTCCACGCAATTTATTTATTATTAAATTAAATGATTAATCAAAGGTAAAACCACCATTGGTCCTGAAGGGACCAAGGGTGGGCGAAGATAAAGAACAAGTGCACACGGGCACCTGTTATGGTGATATGCACTGGAGAATGTTAGTGCATACACCTTGAAACAGTCCGAGAGGGACTGGGGAAGGGACAATTAACAAAATTCATAGCATCTATAAAAGATATGGTCACCATTCCGTTGCATATATCATCAACGAAATGAGACAAATATCTCCAGGTGAAGCAACTGCCCCACTCACCACCTACACAACAACTCAGCACCACGCGATGGGTGCGAATTGTGTGAGTGCTCGAGAGTCGACGCACTGTTAGTATGAAAATTCTTAAAATCCGAATTTTCTTTGACTTAAAAGGCTTTTAGTGGTTAACCAAAAGTCTTTAAGACAATTGGTAAGGTAAGTGATGTACGAGCAACAGCGAACAATCAAGAGACCGGGCTAGCTTTGTAATGCCAACTGTGGGTGCACGCAGCACGCACAGTACCTCAAACATCTGCGATAGGCTGAGGGTTTTTTAAAAATAAAATATTATAGAGGAGACGATGCACTGAAGGTGCAAAGCTCCCAAATAATATAAGAGGGAGAGGTTCCCCACATTCATGACTAGGACCACAGACGCAGCAGTCAGACCTTCCATGTGGAAAATCATAAGAAAAATAAAAACAGAAAAACGTGAATACAGAAGATTATATCAACAAAGCAGTCAATAGTATTTAGAACAAATTTGAATTTGTAGGGATTAAAATTGATATATCATGTAATGATATTTAGATTAAGAAATATTGTAGAACTATTGAAGGAAAAACATAGTTTGTAGTATTAGAAAATCATTTGGTTTAATTTTAATATTTATTGATAAATAATTAAGATAAAAAATAAGAAATTTAATAAAGACAGGGGCTACAAGGTTGAATTTGAGCTTGTTTTGTGTAATT